TGCCACACCAATCAAACTACTTAAGGACCACCAGAAAAAAATAATAACAAAATCCATATAGAAAGTGAAAATGGTTAAGAATCTCAAAAGAAATAATGAAAATAAATGTAAACAAAAGGGGCCTAGCATGCTAGACTTCAAACTATACTATACAGTATATAACACAGTAGTCATTATTAAAAACAATTTGGTACTGGTTAAAAAGTAGAGACTGATGATATTAGGTATATAACAAATAGAGGCAAATGCATCTAACACCCTAGTATCTGACAAACACAAAGACCTTAGTGGGATAAGAACTCATTATTTGACAAAATTTATGGAAAAAATTGGAAGCAATATGAAAGAAATTAGATGTAGATCAACATCTTATATTAAGACAAGCTCTAAATGGATAGGTGATCTACATATAAAAGGTCACATCATGAACAAATTAGAGAAATAAAGAAATTTTTACCTGTTGGATATATGAATAGAAAAGTTTCTGACTAAACATAAACTAGAGAGACTAACAGAAGACAAAATGGGTAATTCTGATTATATTAAATTAAAAAGGGATTGCATAAACAAATCGAATAAAGCTAAGATTAAAAGGGGAAGCAATTAGCTCGGGGGAAATCTTTATAGTAAGTTTATATTATAAAGGTCTCATTCTCAAAACCTATAAGGAACTAAGAGAAAGAGCCATTTGCTGGCTGATAAATTATTAAATGATACGAGCAGACAGTTCTCAACTGAAAAAATCCAAGAGATTAATAGTCATATGAAAACGCTCCAAATCACTACCCATTAGAAAAATGCAAATTAAAACAATTCTGAGATTTCAACCTCACACTCAGAATACCAGTGATGATGAAAAGGAAAATGATAAATGTTTTTGACAAAGTAGGAGAAAACAGGCATAGTGGTGCACTGTTGGTCCATCCATCAATGGATACACTTCTTCTGGAAAGTAATTGGGAATTATAGCAAAAAGTTACTAAATAATACCCAGTTATACATACCACTGCCAGAACTATACACAAAAGGGATTTAAAAAATAAGAAAAGGTCTCATGCTTTTTTTTTTATATACAGTAGATCTTCTCAAGGTGGCAAAAAGCTGGAAACTAAGGGGATATCCATTAACTGAGGAATGGCTGAATAAGATGTGGTATATGAATGTGATGGAATTCTATTGTAGTGTAACAAATGAGGAAATAGAAGATTTCAAAAAATCATGAGCTTCCACAAAGTGATATAAGCAGAACTATAAAAAAAATTAGGTTAGCATCAGTATTATTAAAAACAAACAATTTGAGGACTTTTATAAATTGATAAAGGATGAAATGAGTAGGAACAGAAGAACATTTCACATAATAATAATATTGTAAAAACAAATGACTTGTAAAGCTGTAAGAACTAAGCTCAATACAATGACCATTCATGATTCCAGAGGACCAATGAAAAAAAAGCTATCCATTACAAAGAAGTGATGGATTTAGGATGCATAATGCAACATGTATGTTTTTATGGAATTTGTTTTGCTTGATTACACATATTTGTTAGAAGAGATTTGTTTTCCCCTTCTTTTGTTTCCCTAAAAGGTAGGGAGTGGGAGGGAGAGAAAATACATTACTGTTACTTTTTTAAATAGAGGTGAGGAGTGCTATAGATGTGGAATGTTGCATGTGCTTTCAGATGAGATTGCTGTATCATTAATTTTACTTAACCATTTTACTTTGTTATAAAAGACCTTTCAGGAAGTCTGAGTAATCTGAAAATGTTTTTAATATAAAAACAAAAAACCCATTAATATAAATTTTTTAAAGAAGGAAGTCAATATGGGGGAGGGGGACAGAAAACTCTTTAGGTCTAATAACTGCTGATAAAGACTGGGGCAACCCTAATGTAGGCTTCTTACCATAAATCTAGAATTACTTCAGGCTCTGCACAGAATTTTCTTTTAAATATTTGCTAAAAATAGTTTGATACAATTAATTACAGTGCCTATATTATTTCAAGCAACAAGTCTGAGATGAAAGAAATTTATGGAAAATAATGTTGGGATTTTTTTCCTGTAGTTCCTCTAAATAAGGAGGGCCAACTTTGTGGTGAACTAACCACAATTAAAGTTCTATTAAGCTAAGGAATAAAAGTAGATTACACAAGATCAAACATGCTTATGTGCGGCGATCAATACTGATAATCATGGGTGATAAAGGCAATGTCTGTACTAACTACAGAACTGATGAAAAGATCCAATTTTACTAGGTGATGTTAGGTGCTATGTATTTACACATTATGCTTTTGGTCTAATGTATGCAACTTTGCTATGAAGTATATGTGATTGATGTATCCAGCACACTATATACAACTCTAATATCAGATGCTGTGTACTAATTATGTGTAGGCAGTTTATGAATCTAGGATTATTATGTAATATGTATGCTACGTACAAATTAATGAACGTTTTGGTGTACACCTACATACTGTGCCTATATCCCTGGTAGGATTTCTAGGGATTGCAAATTTTCCACTGGGATGAGAGTTTAAGGGAAGCAATGACTTTGTGCTAGAATACAGGGCACCTCTACCTCTCCCACTATGGGGCTACTAAGTACCTCTTGGAAGCATGTTAAAATTCAAGTCTATTTGCATGGCATCAGCACTATCTGCACAGGGTGTGATGGGAATTAAAAGGGGCAAATGAAAAGCAACATAGTTATTCCAAGCGTAAGAAGGATTCAGCAGGAAGTATGCACTGCATGAGGATGTTGTATACAACCTTTATTCTGGGACAGGGAAGAAGTGAAAGGAATTTACTCACTCTGACCCAGCTACTTTTTTCTGTCTGGGGGTGGGGAGGAAAGGCAGCAAGGTGAGTATATACAATCTTAGCAGTTGCATGAGTGAGAACTCTGTCAGCCACACTTGTGTAGGCTTGACTAACCAATGAGTTGAAAATGGGCTAATGATTCCTGGAGCAGTATTAAGCATCAGTCATAGGTCCAGCCCATGGCAACAGAGACTTGGTAAAAAGCAGCAACAAACAGCACTTTCAGAAGGAAAACATGCAGGGAACGATGGCTAAGAAGAGAGAGCTAAGGATAGCTTTGGGATCACAATATGCTAAACTTGTGCTAAAGGTGATGCAGAGAGGGATCAGGACCCACCCAGTGGAGCCAGAGGAGTGAAATTTAGGGTTGGGGTTATGGACATCAGATCTGATTGACTGTTTGCTGGGAGCCAGAGCTATAAGAGCCTGAAGCATGCATTCCCCAGACAGTCGTTCCCTTACACACTGGTGTGGGAGTCTTTAGGAGATTGCCTCCTTTTTGTGCATGGGGTGGGGAAGAGGCCTAAGAAAGATTCCCTTGCTTGATTTGTCTCTGCTATTTTTATCACAATTAAATTATTGACATTAGATTTTTGCCAGATTTACTGGAAGAGAATGCATTGGAATAGCACCTTGAGATATGTTTGCATAATTTTTATTAGCCAAAATATAACTTACCAAACCTAGGGCTCTAGAGTTTAGTAGTCTACATGGTACATTTGTGTTCCTGCATATTTTGCTCATTGTTGGCATGTCTTGTTCATAGAGGATGATGTTAGGATTGTCCCTATAGCACTCTGAATGGACTCAAAATCCTTCCTAGTCCCTAGGCACGGTCCCTATGCTTACATACTGCCTTGGATAGAGAGGCAGTGCTCATACATCACTGATGTTATGCCTGCACACCAGCTGACAAGGTAATAAGGAAATCCCTCAGTCTCATGAGTTTGAGGATTTTTCTTAAGGTCTGGGATTCTACATCTACTCAGCATATAAACTGGTATATCCAATAGCACAAATGGTAGATGACATTTAATTCTACTGCCCTAATTCTATTGTATGAGAGTGTGCAATATCTAAGGACCCCAAATTAATCTCATTAGTTTTCTGATAGTGGAGGTATGTCCCCTGAATAACAGGAGAATTTAACCTATCAATCCTCTTATTTGGTTTGAAAATACCTGGTCTAAGCTTCACCCAACAATCACTTTTTGACATCAGATCTTATGGACTGTTTGTCAACTTCTTACAAAGGATATCCTTACTGGGTTCGTTAAAGGTTGTTTCTGGATTTATTCAAATCAACTAATTGAGTTCTTTTGATTTTGTTTGTTTTTTAAGATAAAAACAGCAACTTCTTAGTAAACTTGGAAACAATTAGGATTCAAAGTCAAGTTGAGCCTCTGGATATTCACTCACTTGAATTAGCTCATCGATCATAGATGTAGAGCTGAAAAGGACTTTAGAAGTCACGGAGCACAACTTTCTCTGTTTACAGATAAAGAAACTGAGGTACACAGGTTAAGTAACTTGTATAGGGTCACATAGTAAATGAGAGAGCTTAGATTTGAATTCAAGTTCTTTGATTACTAAGCTATCAGTGTTTCCACTGCATTCTGCTGCCTCCAGATGAGTAGCTTCTTCCTCTGGAAACTTCTTAAGTGAAAGCAGAGGAGCAATAAAACTTGACAATATGGTACCACACTTCTAACCTGGTCTCAGATTCCTACAGTCTACTGCTACCCATTGGTTCTAGTCCTTACTACTGAGTACAGTTATTTTTCAGATTTTTTTTTGGAGCCATGATTTTTAAAAATCTAACGGTAATTAAAGCTGTCCTTTCTGTCACCTAGCATAACTATATGTAAACAAGATATGATCTTGATATGTATATTTATAAAGAAGATAGGTTTGTATTTAAATGATTTATAAACTATTTTGCCCTCAAAAATAATCTCAAAAACTCATAAACTTCTTTAATGAATGGCAATATCTTCTCCATTAAGGCAAAGATGACTGAATTTAAATTTAATATCTGATGTCCTTGAAGAGCTCAAGGAATTCAAGGTCAAAAGACAGTAGAATACCTGATTGTAACAAGGAACCTTTTGCATTCTTGTGTAAGCTGTAATTAGTAAAAACAGCAATCACCAAACATCACAACATTCAAATCAGTAACATACCAATTCCATTAACTGTTTGAGCTGACCTATCTCTTCTGGAAGAGACCCAAGCTTGTTGTTACTTGCAATTAAGACTTTGAGAGGGAGACCACACAGGCAGGCCGGCAACGATGACAGCTGATTGCGACTGCAACAAGAAACGGAATAATATAAATAAAAAATTCAGCTTATATTATGCCATATGTTTATGTGAGTTATCATCTGGAAATGAAAGCAGCAGTTTATAAAGTTAATCTTTTCTGGATATGCTAGCAGTTTACATGGCAAGTATTCAAAAAAAAAGAATAACTTTGGGAAGACAAAGTTGAAGCTATTTATTTTTAAAAGTTTTATTTAAACACCAAATAGAAGCACATTTGGAGGGGTGCAGCACAGTGGATAGAGTGCTGAGCCTGGGGTCAAGAAGACTTGGGTTCAAATCTGGCCTCCAACACTTACTAGATGCATGACCCTGTTTGCCTTAGTCTCCTCTTCAGAAAACGGGGACAATAACAGCACCTACCTCACAGAGTTGTTGTGAGGACCCAATGAAATAATAATTATGAAGCACTAAGCACAGTGCCTGGCACATAGTAAGTGCTGTATACATTTTTCACCAACACCATCATCATCATCATCTCTTCTTCCCACACTGAAAAACATCACTGCTATTCTCTTTAAAAAAAAAAAACCTAATATTTTATTTTTCTCCAATTACACATGAAAACAATTTTCAACATTCTTTTTTCCAATATTCATTTTTAAAATTGAGTCCAAATTCTCTCCCTCCCCATCCCCCTCGTTGAGAAGGCAAGCAATTTGACATAGGTTATACATGAAACACTGCTATTCTCAAAGACACAAAACTCATTTTATCAGCCTGCACCCATTTTTGACAGTATATCCAGACAGCCAAGACCAACCAGAAGGTAGCATATACTGTTCTTCCCTGATAACATACAGAAAAAATTCAAGTTGGGGCAAATATGTTTAGTAAACATGAAAATGCACATTTTTTTTCATCTAAGTCAGAAATAGTGAGGAAAGGACCATAGTTCACTGAAAAGTAGGCCAATTTCTGACACCTAAGAGCTAGGGTCTCTACTAAAACCAGACATGCAGTGTGATATATTGGGAAAATCATCTTATTTGGAGCCAAAGAACTGAGGTCCCAATCCTGCCCCTGCTACTTTATAGCTGCGTGACCTTTGTCAAGTCATTGCCTCACCCGTAAAATGAAGGAGTCTTGACTGGAGGGCCTCTCAAGTTCCTCCTTTGTTCCAGCTCTCTACCTATTATCCTATCATCATGGAGCCACTACAGCTAAAGCCTATATTGAAGCCTCAAGAGAAGTATCGTTAAAAAAGAAACAAGAAACATAACTCCTCAGATCTGACCTGAAAGCAAAAATTATGCCTGCTACAAGAGAAATTATTTGGTTCCCAGAAGTGGTCGCAGAGGCCTCCTCTGATATTCTCCCTGCCAGACGCTTTGCCCCATTTCCCCTCTAATGCAGCGGGCTGCCAACTTTCTACAATCGACTCTCAGTTGTGTGAAGCACCAGGAAACAACACGGATAAATAAAACCCAGAGATGATCCAAAATTCTCAGTCATTTACCTCAACTTCCTCCCCACCAAGGACTCATTTTTGCTTCTAACGTGTTAATAACCTAGGTTCAGAAACTAAGTTATTGGATAAAGATCACATTCCTAACAAAGGGTGGAATCAGAATTGCTGCCACAGTTTGAACCCCGGTCTTCTCAGTTCTGGTTCAGCACTCTTTCTACTACACTACTGCCTTTCACAGTCAGACGACTTGTAAGTGTCCACTAAATCCTACTTTGCTGTCATTCTGTAGTGTGGCAATGATCCTAGGCGAGTCATATATGCCATCATAACAAAAGCTCTGGCAGATTCTCCTATGATGCAGAGGCTTTGGCGGCAGGCTGGGGCTACTTCCCGATAACCAACATCCCCAAGTACAGAGAAACTAATCATGTCAGAAGCTGGATGCTTTCTTTGGCTAGGGTCTATGAAACAAAGAAAAATATAAAATGGCCTTCAGGCCTTTATGGTCCCCTTTGGAGCACAGTGGCAGAGAAGTGGAAAAGGAGACAAAGGGTGCTGAGAGGCACAGTTCTTAGATGGTTCACACATTCTAAAAGCTTATACTTTTACCAGGGGATCAAAATGTACATAAATGACATATAAGGCAGAACGTGATAAAGGCAAATAAGAGATCAACAAAATGTTCTAAGAAAATTTGAGGAAGGAGGGAGCAATCTCACTTCGAAGAATCATAGAGGGCTTTATGGAAGAGTTGGTACCTTAGCTGGGCCTTGATTTCAACAGGTAGTCATATATAAAACAATACATGAAGAATATTTTTACCCATCTCATCCCCACTCTCTCACCTTCCCATCAAGATTAAAAAGGTTCTCAGTACTTGACTCCTATGTGTCTGATCAAATATGTCTGATCAATCTATCAACTCACACCTTCCCTTTACCACCTCCCTTATTAGATTAAAATTTCTATTCCAGCAGTCTCAGGTTTTAGGTATCCTGATGATTTCATTAAGTAGCCCATGACAGTTAAAAAAAAAAAGCCCTCAAAAGGTTCACATTCATCATCATTTGAATAATTGATGAGATTAAATTTCTTAAGATATATTTGAATTTTAAATAATAGTAACAACAGCCAGCACTTATATATAGCACTTTGCATTGCAAAACACTGTACATATAATATCTCATTTGACTTTAAAAGAACTCTCCAATATGGTCCCTTGGAGGAAGAAAAAGGGCAGGGGTTTTTCCAATTCCTGGCTGTTCCTTCTCCTTTCCCAGTCCCTACCCCCTAGCAAATGGCATGTATGATTTGCCATTAAGGAAGAATACTCAAATTAAACTCACAGTCCCTGATTAGGCCCTTTCCTCTCTTCTCTTTACATTCTCTCACTTGGTAACATTCGCAGTTTTAACAGTTTCTATAGCTCCCCTAGTTCCAGTGATCCGCACTATATTGTTGATTCCTAGATGTATATATTGAGCTTAGATCTTTCTGGAGTTCCCACTCTCACATTGCTAACTACTAGCTAGACATATCAAACTGGACAACAATAAGCTTCCCAAATTTTATGTCCAAAACAGAACTCACTATCTTTGCCCTCAAACTCACTCACCTTTCAAACTTTCCTATTGTCTGTTTCCTATGTCTGGGCACCATCTGTCTGGTTCATAATCTTGGTCTCCCCAGCTCCTCATTCTTGCTTTGCCCCATGTATCCAAACAATTGCCAAAGCTTATTGTTTCTATCTATACATCTCTTGCATGTCTATTCTTGTTTACTCGCACAATCACCATGTAGCTGGAGGCCCTCATCACATTTTGCCTAGACCAGGGGTGGGGAACCTGCAGCCTTGAGGCCACATGTGGCCCTCCAGGTCCTCGGGTGCAGCCTTTTGACTGAATCCAAACTTCACAGAACAAATCCCCTTAATAAAAGGATTTGTTCTGTAAAACTTAGACTCGGTCAAAAAGCTGCACCCAAGGACCTAGAAGGCCACATGTGGTTTAGGCCCTCAGGTTCCCCACCCCTGACCTGTTATAATAGCTTATTTGGACTCCCTACCTCAAACCTCAAACTTGACTGAGAGCAGGGATTACTTTTTGCCTTGCTTTGCATCCCTAGCACAATGCTCAGCACATAGTAGGCATTTAATAAATGCTTATTGATTCGACTCTTCCCACTCTAATGCATCCTCCATATACCCAAAGTAATATTTTCCTCAAGTGTAATTAGGTCCATTTCCCTACTCAATAAACTCGACTGGTTTCCTATTATGTCTAGGTTCAAATATTAACTCCTCTGACATTTAAAGCTTTTTAAAATCTGGCCCCTTGCTACCTTTCCAGTCTTCTTACACATTACTCCCCTCCACATAATATGTAAATTCAGCCATATTTGTCTATTTGTTGTCCTGTTCACATGAAACCCCATCTTCCACCTCTATATGTTTGTACTGACTATTCCCTATCCTCACTTCTGCCTCTTGGTATCTTTGGGTTTTTTTTCAAGACTTAGCCCAAGTATCACCTTCTACATGAAATCTTCACTGATTCCCTCAAGTGCTAGAGCACTTCCTTCCCAAACTACTTTGTGTTCATTTTCTATATGTTATGTATATACTTATATATCTACATGTTATCTCTCTCTCTCTTTTTTTTTAAGTTAGGCAATGGAGTTAAGTGACTTGCCCAGAGTCATGTAGCTAGTGTTATGTGTCTGAGGCCACATTTGAACTCAGGTCCTCCTGAATCCAAGGCTGAAGCTCTATCCACTGCACCACCTAGCTGCCCCTACATGTCATCTCTTATAGTAGAATGTAAACTCCTTGAGGTCATAGTGCCTCACATACAATAATCTCTTAATAAATGCTTGTTAATGACTTGACTCAGTCTGTCACTCAGCTAACCTTGGAGCACTTCCCCAGATGCAGCTTTCTGTTAGATAACAGATAGGAGAAGAGAGTTTCTCAGACAGAGCCAGGAAGGTAGATTTTAGGAAGAAGGTGGTAGAGGGGGGCTGGATGTCTCTTCATGGGGGAAGCTCAGACTGCAGGACTAGAAAAGCATTGCCAACATCTTACCCTTACTACTAGGGTGGACAATGTAAGGCAAGACTTCCATGGAATCATCCTTAGACCTCATTTTTCAAAGAGAAGCCAAGTTCTATCTGGATCAAAGAGGCAGAGAAAAGGCCAGTACTAAGAAAATTTCTAATACAATGTGATCTATCTTAGTACCTTTCCCTGAACTTCTCTAAAGGCATCACAGAACTGAAGTCAAATGATCATTCTTTTAATCAGATTAATGATATGAGATGTTTAAATGTTTAAAATTATTTACAGTTTCATCAATTTAATTTGAGTCAAGATTTGAATAAGTCAATGCTCATACAATGTCTTGTTTCTAGATATTCTAAAATATGCAAGAATTCAAGTTAAAACATTTACTAACTACCTGTTACCTTCAAGACATTATGGTAGGTATTAGCCATACACTTTAAAAATAAAGCAAAACCCTAGTCCTTGTACACAAAGAGCCTATATTCTAAAAGAGAGATAAAATTTGTACACAGATAA